CTCCCGACTGCCCGTACTTTCTCGGATCGAACCCCATCCTCACTCCATCGCGAGTTGACGAAAGATGACGGTTCGCGATGCTCACGGAGACTCGAAAGTGGAAAGCTTTCGGTACCCGATTTCATTCGCCGAAGGAGGTTTCATGGTTTCATCTCACAGGAGGTGATGCGATCGTGCCGGTCTTGCGTTCCCTCTGGCACCCAGAAGGCCGAAGCGACGAGCCTCGATCCTCAAAGGTCCGCTCCGTCGATGGTCCTCTTTGGTCTCACGAGGTACTCGATGCTCATACGATGCACGACGTTTCGTTTCCGGAACTTGCCACTACGGTTTATCGCAGAAGTTACCGGGTGGGATGCATCGAAACCGGTAGCGACGATCGATAGGAAGTTCCTTCGCGCGTCGCGTCGAGTCTTCTTGCCGTGGGTCGAAACGTCTGTCGATGGGGTCAAAGTCGCAGGTGCGAGGAATCCAACCACCCAGCCGGAATAAGAGAATCACGAGATGCACGTTGGCCCTGGTGGGTGATAACCATGATACCGGGATGACCGTGCAAGACACAGCCGATTTGCTCTGTCATCGCTCCTCTTTTGCGTCTCGGCCGAGAACGTAGGTGCGAACGCACACGTTTCATCGCCCTGCGCAGTGGTTTCATTCCACTGTTGACCCCCACATCCATATTTTTTGTTGGCATTTGCCTCACTTGCACGCGTATCTTGCGGTTAGGTGTCTCATTAACCTGAAGATTAGGGATTGTCATTGTACTTTATTCTTCGGTCGTTCAGGGGGTCAGTACTCCTTTGAAAAAATCGACTTAATAAAATCCTGAAAAAACCGTCAGTTACGACCATACTAGGTATGATATATTTTTTTACAATTTATATCAATTAGTTCCTGAGGTGAAACACTGAAGGAAGTTAATTTGTGGGTTTACATTTTTATAAGTTTATCTCCATCTAATGACCAACAAAAATTTTTGAAAATCTATGTGTACACATATTTAACTGCAAAATCGTTAAATGGAGGCCGATATATGAAAAATATCACTTGATGTGAAATAAGATTTAAAAAACATCGAAACGGTTAGTCTTTTTTTTTGGAACAATGTTTCTCTTGAAAAGGATACCGCTAAAATATTTTTAGAATATAAATATCGCGAGAAAATTTGGAGAAAAAAAAATTACTGGAGCGATACGTGTTTCTCTGATAAATTTCTCTTCTCGAAGCCAAAATGAAGGGGTTTAGGGTCAATACTCAAATGATTTATTGTTTGCCTAACATAAAAAACTCACGATCGTCTATATATAGATCAGGGGTTGGGAACCTATGGCTCATGAGTCAAATTTGGCTCACGAACCAAAAGGTTTGGCTCATGAGTCAGGGCTAAAAAACATGGCTGTCCCTCATGTATCATAATGGACATGTTTGTTGCCAACTTCAGGAAAAATTGCTTGTTTTTTTCCCGGAAATATTTGGCTCAATACTTGGCTCAATTTTAATGTGGCTCACATTGCCAAAAAGGTTCCCGACCCCTGTACTTGATGATCGTGTCGGGGTTAGGACAAACTGCTGATTACGCAAAAGGCCCTTTTGCTCGGTCTTTCTACTCCTTTCTCCTTGTGAAACTCGCCATGCCACCTCATTCTTTGTTTTTACTGCAATCTTGGAAGTCTCGGAGAGTGGACTCTTTCTAGGCCTGACTATGGATGCGTTGATTTGTGCTGGAGTCCGTTCGGGATATATGGAATCGGTATAACTAAACTGTAACACTGAGGCAGTTTCATGCTCACACCGTTTCATGCTCTTTCTCGTTTCCTTCGAAAAGCTAGCCGATGGTCTCTCCTTTTTTTCTCTTTGGTGAAAACGAGCAGCGCGGTTATGACTCGTATTCTGCTGAAAATATTTTCTTCAAAATCGCATGACGAAGAATGGGAATGCTACCTAGAGGGTATTCGCCTAACTCCGACGCCATGCCTGTTAGAAAAACGTAGCCGAACCGCGTGCATATACGTTGGGTGCATTAACGCTAGATGGCCCGTTTCAAGTATGGCGCCGCCCATGACTGCGCGGAGTTGCACGTGAGGAGGAGAGTGGGACAAGTCATACCTTCGCAAGATTGCACAATCCTTCTGTGCGTGGGGCTTTTACCAATTTCCTCTCAAAACAGAGCCACGACAAAGAAAATAAGAGAGTTTCTAGCCGAGGCAAAACATGTTATGAATGTGACGGAGTTGGGTGAGCAAGAACGTAGGTCAATCCTTAATGAAACTTCTCTTTTAAAGGAGGTGCAAGTTTTCCTCAGCCACTCACCAATGCAGGCTTTTTCCATGGAATCATGGGCCTCAATCGCTTACATGTGCATGATATGAGTGGGATACTGCTCACATATTTCAATTCCTTATAAAATTCACTATAACAGGAAACTGCTTGCTACTTGAAGTTTTGACTCCCATTTCCCCATCTTCCCATTTTGACTCCCTGTATTGTTTTAAGTGTTGCTAGCTTTTTTATATTTAATCAGTTGTGCTTCATGGGCTAAATTGTAACCCATAACAAACCCTTTTCGATTTATGGTAAAACTTATCATGTCAAGAGTTGGCTATTTATCCTGCGACAGTAAATACCAAGTTTGATTTTGTCCATGGAAAGCGAAGGCCTAGACCGAGTTGCATGACAGGCCTTTCAAGCCACCTGGATGTTTCAAGTAGAATCTTCACACCTTCGATTACTTACTACGTGATCATTCTTGGTCTGAGGAAATCGTCTGGCGGAGACAAAGAAGCATTTTCGTAGTAAAAACAGTCATTATCTGCATGTTTCCATAAGAAACGCTTTGAAGCTTGCACGCTTGGTCCAGCTCATTTTTACGCCTTCAACTTAATGCACCCAGCGAATAGTGTGCGAAATTTACAATCATAGCCCATGTGGCATTACGTAGTACCTCGTATCTTCCGAAATAGCCGGAGTGAACTTCCCCTCTCTATCAGATACTTCCAAAATAATTTCTTCTGATATCAATAATGCACATTTCTATTCAGCGGGGATTTTACAATGATACGAGTGCGTCCTCATCGGTTTTCCCGACATTTGATATTTGAAAATATTGGTGGGGTCCGAAATCACCATGACCTGATTTAAACTTAGAATTGAGTTTTTCGCATTGCCCTCCGGGAGCATTGGAAGAAACGAAATGGAGCATGCTCCATCCTCTCTAGACACGAGGATGACTCCAGAAAATTGGAAGGTTCTGCTCCCCAGGGGTATGAATGCAGTGATCTAGCTCATTCCAAGCCCCCATCAATTTCATATCATACATGCCGCATGCATCGACCCTACGAGCCAAAGCCGGAGGTGGGGGGGTTCGGCCTTCGGCACCATGGTTGTCGGATGCTATATTTAGGACCAGGCGATATGGGTTTTGAAGGGACCGATATCGCCCACCGTATATCGATCGATTTCTCCATATCGCCAATCCTTTAGTTCGGGATCAAAAACACGAAACATTTTCGGGGTTCAGATCAGAATCACACTTTGCTCTAGTGAACATCTGCGAAAGGAACACTGCACTGGTATTTTCTGCTTATTACTCGGAGAGATTTCAGTCATTTTCCGGTATAAAGGCTGTGGACATGGGTATACGAGAAAGCAAAGGGCCATGACATCGAGGTTGGGTGATATCTGGCTCATTTCGCCCTTCTATATTATCCCTAGATTAAGTAGAGTTTTAAATCAGGACATGAAGTTCCCCGTGACGGATCGATAGCTAGAAATCAATGGGGGCAGCCGTGATTTCATCCACTTTGAGACTTCCCATTCTCCAAGTTGATTATTAGTCAGCAGAACTTACAGTGTTTCCTATCGTCTTTCGTACCGACTGCAAATTGCTGCGCACTATCGGCAAAATACTTCGTAGGTCTTTCAAAATGATCCATGAACATCGCATGATGTAATGCCATCTCATCGCAGAAAGGGTACGAAAGTTCATGGAACGATAACGAATCGTTTTGAAAGAGGTGACAGACCGCTGAGTTGAGAGAGGCCGCTGGTACCTAGGATTCTGTCAAGGGTACGAATCTCACCGAGAAACACTTTATTTGGTGAGACTACTCTCAGCGCTACGAGGCTCCAAATTGGGTTCGTCTGTCTGCTGTAGGAGGGCTTTTCAAAATGTTCGTTCCACCTACTTCCACCTTTCCACCTTTCCACCGTTCCACCTTTGCAGCCAGCACTTCCCGGTTTCGATTTTTGATGACTGGCATAATACGTTGTCGGCCTCGTCGAAGCCTTCGAATGGTTTGCTAGCACACCTTCAGGGCACTGCGGTAATAGAATTACATTAGCTCACCGAACCTACTGGACATTCTACTGTACCGGGTGTCCACAAAGTCCTGTTACCCCACGCTTTCTTCCTACACTGCAATGGGAAACAACTGAAACAAGTGGAACGATGATGATAATTCATCATCAGGTGTTTATTTCACACAAGGATGGCGACAATTCCATCAAGAAGTCCAGTGAATTGGAGTGAGAACCGTTATTTTCATGGTTGAATGTGGCGACGGATCATTCTCTGCCGTGAATATGATGGCACTCTCACTGACCCTGTTGACTTTCTGTTCTGTTAATAATTGAAATGCAATAGTCATCATCCTAGTGTGAAATAAACACCTGATGGTGAATTATCATCATTGTTCCACATGTTTCAGTTGTTTCCCATTGCATTGTAGGAAGAAAGCGTGGGGTAACAGGACTTTGTGGACACCCTGTAACATCACTGACAATTTTTCATCGGCCACATAAACTTGTAACGATTTCATTGTTTCATCAGTGGAAGATTGCTATCGTCCATGTTTACTCCCATCACGACCAGTCTAGACAGCGTCGCAGTTGGAGGGAATAAAATGTTTGCAGCCATGCAAGGCCTACTCTGCATCCAGCCATGGAGTATTTCTATGCCATGATTGTCTACAACTTAAAAGTCGGTCTATCGGCGCTTCCGGGCCATGCCCTTCTACGGAGAGCATTTGGAACGTCTGCTCCATCATGTGCTACAACTTATAACTGGTTCGGTGAATTTCGGCGAGAGTGAGCCGGCTTGGAAGATGAATCTCGCAGTGAAAGATTTTCGACAGTCCTGGAAACATAACATTGCTCGTGCCGAGTCTCCGATGAAGGAAAATGGGCGAATCACCTATGAAGAGTTCGAGCAGAGTCTCGGCATCGAATCGGCAGCAGTTTCGAAGATTTTGCACGAACGTCTTCACGTGAGGAAAATTTGCACCTTCATGGGTGCCACACGATCTGTCAGAAGTCCAGCGAGAAACCCGTGTGGATCGGTGTAAATTAGTTATGGAAAGTTTTACGAGGGGTAATATCCATGCACCGTGACGATGCCAGTGCACACAGCAGTACGCACATGCGATTTCCTGGCCGATTTTCAGCTGCTGCCTCACCCTCCATACTCGACTGACCTTGCCCCTCCCCATGGTGAAGAAGGGTACGAGAGGGAAGTATTAGGCTGTTCCAAAATAAATGTCCGAATTCGATCGCAAACTTTGAAAGATCGTAACTCAGCTGATAATGAACATTTTTAATCGAAGTAAGCACCATCCGCTTCAACACACTTCTGCCAACGAGATACAAGCTTGTTGATCCCAGTCGAGTAGAAATCCTGGGTTCTGGAGGCGATGAAATCCTTAAAGGCATCTTCGGCAGAGGTCTGATCATGGAAGTGTTTCTCCTTGACGAAGTGATCCAGGTGTTTGAAAAAGTGGTAATCCGTAGGTGATATGTCTGGGGAGTATGGTGGATGAGGCAGAGTTTCGTAGCCCAGCTGATTCAGTTTGCGTACGGTGAGATGTGCGACATGCGGTCGGGCGTTGTCGTGCAGCAGAATCGGCCCCCTTCGGTTGACCGATGCAGGCTGAAGTTTGCGAAGTTTCTCGTGCATCGTGTCCAGTTCGTCACAGTACTTCTCCGCTGTGATTGTTTCACCAGGTTTCAGAAAGTGGTAGTGCACCACTCCTGTTGAAGTCCACCATACAGTGACCATAGTCTTCTTCGGGTGAGCGCTTGGCTTTGGGAAGTGCTTGGGAGGCTCATCTCGGTCCAGCCACTGCGCCGATCGTTTACGATTGTCGTACAGGAGCCACTTTTCGTCGCACGTAACAATACGGTCGAGAAAAGGGTCGTTTGTGTTGCGTAGAAGCAATGCGGAGCTGATCTCGTATCGGCGAGTGCGATTACTCGCGGTGAGTTCGTGCGGAACCCATTTGTCCATCTTCTTCGTCTTTCCAATGTCGTTCAGATGACGGGAAACGGTTGCGATGCCAACAGACAATTCTTCCGCAAGCTCTCGGACCGTTACATGGGGATCACGTTCCACCATAGTCTTCAGAACGGCGTCGTCAAGAGACTCTTTCCGACCTCTACCTTCCAACTTTTTATGTGGGGTAGGATGGGTTCACGGTAGAAGTCGACGAGTGTGAGTTTCATGCGATAGGGGGGGAAGTCGGATCACTGAAACCTCCAGAAACTTCCGCCGAACGACAGACGAGCTAGTCTTCCCGATTTGGGAGAAAGGAATGGTGAATATAGCCCGAGGCAGCGTGAGCGCCCGTGAAAACTTGCCCTTCCTCGACAGTGCTGGGCGAGTATACCCAAGGTCGCCGGTCTAGCTTTTCCATCCCATAATGTCTTGCTAGCTCTTCACTTTGCTCTCGCAGTGGATGTCTATTTGGATACGTGCGTGTCTGTGTCAGTTATCTCGTGTGCGTATAAGTTCAAGAAGACGTGCTCTAGAGCCTGAGTATAGTTTTTGTTATATTGTTGACATTAATGACATCACTATCCCTATCGCTATGGTATAGTGATATCGATATCATTAATGCCACTTACACTGTAGTTCTTCATCCGTCTCTTAACCAAGCCACTGCTAGTATACCGGAAAGAGGCTGCCGGCATAGACTTGTCCTCTCGTGATGCCCCCCATCGTCTTTAACGCCAAGGGCAGCTCTGGCTGATCACATTCTGCTCACATGTTGCCGCTATGCAGGACATCAGTAACAGCATGGAGTGAACTTCAAATCGCATATTTAGGATCAGGGCCTGGGAGCCTGGGAGCAACGTGAGAATAGTGTGTATCGTTCGCACGAGACGCACAAGACGCTAACTGGAAAGAAACCGGTTAGGAATTCGCGCAAATTTATATGGATTGGGAAACTGATTTTAACGAGGATCCATGCGTATCAGTCTTATCGGGAGAACTAGATCCTTTCAAAACGTCTTTTATTTGCAATTCCTTGCAATTCCTGACCCGTTTTTTTTTCTTTCCGCCTTGTGAATGCAGTTTTGTGAGTCCCGTAGCCATAAGCCTAAGTAGGGTAAAAGACCCAGTGGTGGGCCACGTCGCAGGAAAATTCCAAAAACTAGGCATTTGTTCCATGAACACCTCCGAAGTGTGTATGTGCTTGAATGCTGCTAGCCTATGCCACAACAGGGGTAGGCGTGCTATGGAAGCTTAGCTGTTGGAATTTTTATGTGCCCATCACTGGGGACCAGTGGGTCCAACTCTCTTGAAAAAGAAGTTGGGAAAAAATTTTTTTTCTATTCTCAGATAAATTTCCATGAGTGTCGGTCACGCAGTCTTCCATTACGTGATAGAAGTCGGAGTGGAGTTCGCCCAAAATAGAGCCATTTGATATAATTTTCTACATTTCTATCTCAATGATTTGTCATTACGGACTCGGGCCTCGAGACCTGGGTGTACTACCTCTCTCCACTGGTCACCAGGCGTTTCGCATTCGTCCAACACAGCACACTACGGAAAGGATGAAACGGCGAAGGCCTAGTACAACAGACATTTGGAGACACACACCAAGGGTGTCGAGGAAGGAGCGCGAAGCACTGAAAAACAGAAACCATAGCTGATCCAGGGGACCAGGGAAATGACTTGGCAAGCCACTGAAGCAAGCAGTGTCCTGCGCGGTCATTCGGCATCAAGTAAAATTCCCCTGTAAGGACTGTGGGCATCCTATTGGCCACACTTCCAAATTCATAGCTATATTCCATACACATTCGGTTCTGTACCCATGCAGCATCCGTGATTCTGTGATTGCTTTAATCATGATCTAAAGGTTTATGTATATCTTCGAGGTATTAATGAAGCAGAATAAACCAAGTTTCAGTAATCTGTTGAAAAGTGCTCATCGTATTTTCAGATGATGCGTCACTTGTGTTACGTTCATTCCTAAGAGGGATAGAAGGAATCTCTTGCAAAATGGTGTAGTTCATTCAAAAACAGAATAGTGGCTAGTGTATACATGGCTGAGGATATGAGGCTGATCATACACACTACCGCCATCTCTATCGCATTTTTGGACTATCTTTACACGACTTCCTTCCTGTCAGCCATTTCGGATTCTATCCTTCTCTCTCTCTCTCTCTCCCCCCCCCCCAAAAAAAAAATAATAATAAAATAAAAAATCGTTCTCCTCTCTCCTCACGTTTCGCACCAAAAGTGCGTATTGGGAACGGAAAAACACCCAAGTAATTCTCGCTGAAATTCAACAGTTGTAGATTGATGGTTCTTCATGAGGTCAACTTCATTACATTGGGAACTTCTGATGGAATCGGGGAGTAAAAAGGAAAGTTGAATGGTCTAAAGTGGCAGAGTGAAAAAGAAGAAAAGAAAGAAAAAACGGAGCCAGCAAGAAGACCTTGGTCCATCCCGTGGTTTCCTCTATGGAACCGGGAGTGATGGATGACGGTCGTCGATACTCTGTTGCCAAAAAAGAAAGAGGAACTCGTTGATAGAGCCAAGGCCTCCCGTGGCAAGAGGGGAAAGAAGCAAAAGAAACAAGATACACCTCCATTAGCTTCGTCTGACTTCCTGTTCCATCGAATGGCTTCCGAATCTCCTCCAACGAGGTGCATACAGCACCCACTCGAGAAGGAGTAGTTGTTGCTTTCTTGTTTTGGATCCAGCTTTCGATCACACTCCTTCACACGTACAGGTTTTGTTGTACGTCGGATGAAATTAAAGCCTTGCAATTTTCTGGCATTAGTGATGGTGGCAAATCTTCCCCCAACGAAGATGAAGGTATAGTAGGGGTGTGGAACTCGGACAGAGGGTCGAACGCGACCCGCTAGCCGACAGGTTCACAGCCACGAGGGAGTATAGAGGGTGAGGCAAAAGTAGCTTGCCTGAATGGACTGTAGTAGTTGAGTTGAAACCTTTTGTTTTACTTTGTTCTTGTCTTGTTCGTTAATTTGTTCAATTTAATTTTATGATCGATCTTATCTATTTGCCGGAGGGTATATTGTGTAATGTACTGTAATTACAATATATGTAAAACTTAGTCTTCTCTGAGGTAACTTACTTTTGCCTCATGCTATGTTAGTTTGCACGATATGTCATGCACTCCTAGACCGAGTTCTTTTATAATTTTTAGACTCTATATCATATAAAGACTTTATAGGCTTTATAAATATCATACCACTAAGTAAGCTCCAGATGTTGCAGATCGGACTCAGTGAGATTTTTTGGTTGGTTTAGGAAAAATTAATATTTCATTTGATGTGCACCCTTCAAGGTGTCAATGAGGCGAATGTGTATTTATTTATTTCTTTGTATATGCAAGAATAGCCATTATGAACTCTCCACTTCGAAATGGAGTCTCCCTTATTCGTTCAGATCGATGAGTATTCTTGTACTTCCTCCTACTCGGGAAATATGGAGTCAGTATGGGCAGAAATTCCTATCGGCGTTTTAGCCGAAAACTTCAAACTTGAACTTTACAATTGAAGCCAGTTCAATCGATGCCTTCGTAATGAGGAATTGCAAGGACGCACTCGAAAAGATCTCTTCTCCCGACTTGATCGAAGAGAGAATCGAAGTCTTTCATTGTTTCACCGGGATTAAAGCAGTTTGTTTATTTTTATTTTTTATATTTCGGTACAAAAATATGTATGGGTGGCCATGAACTTACGAAAGTTTTCATGGTGTTTACTTTTCATGGCGTTTGCTTCTCATTACCTTTTTTTTTAACGTCTGTGTGCTTCTAGGAAATACATGTCATTCAAGGAGACAGTGAGGGATCAAGCGAATCGTCTGTTTAAAACACAAGCCTAACTCATTATGGGAATCGGGCACTCAGTACCCGATGATGAACCGAATTAAATAGTTAACGTTTGTGCATGCCGTTCATTTGGTTGTGGCTGCTGTCTTACTAGGTTGTAACGAAAGTTCTTGTGCATGCAAACAACGCAACAGTCCGCGAAGCATGATTTTTTCGTTGCACATTCTGAACGCTGTAATTTTTTAAAATATAAATTTAGCGATTTAATTTTTTTTTCGTTGTATATAAATATGCGCCGTATTTTGCGCGAAAGCAAGTCTTACACACTGCTTTTTTAGCACGAAGCGCCTGACAACGCAACAAACATACGTGTTTTTGAAAGCAATCAACCTAGTATTTTCGCTGGTTTATTTTATCGTGTTCGTTGTTTCGTGTTCGCAGGGGAAATACATGGACCTTGAGGTGGATTTCAAAGGAGAACCCATCGGGGCTTACATCACCAATTGTGAGTTTCTAATTGTCCTTTGTTGGACATCATCACGTAGAAAGTGCTGACTGATAGTACCCAACGAGCATGAACATCCTCAAAATGTAATGACATGGAGATGATAGGATAAGGAGGAATCGGGTGCCTTGGAGTTGCGCTCGACCAACCGTTGCAAAGGAAAAGTATTTAGCGACACCGTAGTAGTGATCACACGAGACGCTTGAGAATTGTGGAACTTATCGCATGATCGCATCCCCTTGAACCTTCATCGCGGCTATCGATCGGTCGTCTCGATGCCGCAAGGAACCTTTCCTTGCATTCGCGAAATGGTATTTCGATTTGCAAGTGGTACGACTCTGTCCACGTCAACTTCGAGGCATCCGATTCGTTCGTAATTTCTTTCTGCTATTCCACCCTTTCACGTTTTTATTGTCTTGTTCTTTTTCATTTCTTTGCAGATCTTCTCGAGAAGGTGAGAAATGTGAAGTCGTTATGAGCTCTTTCGGTGTCGTGAATTTTGCTCCGCGAGACGCGATGGCTTCATGGAACGGGAGAGTGAGAGGGGTCTATGAGATAACAAAACACATAAGGGACAGATGGAGAGAAGTAGACGATGGGATCGGCCGGTGTTGACACGGCTTTTTCCCGGATCCTATTTCTAATCATATTCCCTATATCTCCCTTGTACTACTCGGTACACCTATGCCTTCCGATTCGGCCTCGTGGAGAGATTCTGCAGTCATCAGTCTTGTTTGCCCTTAATTGCTGTCTCGGCGGGGGGAGGGAGTATTAATTAAATTTGATGGTGTTTTTAATTGCAGTCCCGAGTGACATGGTATCCGGCGGGAGAGAGGAACTTCCACATCTTCTATCAGATTCTGGCTGGCGCCGATGTTCACATGTTGAGTGAGTTCGCTTCTTCCAACCTACCAAATGTATTGACGTTTTCTGAGAGGTTGCAGATTCTCTCATCGCTCTCGAATGGCGAAGAATCGTGAACGAAGCGACGAGCGACCTCGACTCGTCCGGCGGGGTGTTTGTCGCAAAAAAAAAAGACTGTTACACGAGGGAACCGGGAGGGAATGTCGAGACCGAAGCGAGGATGAAACCGAGACGGAGACGATCGGAGAAAAGAGAGACGGGATCGAAAAAGAGCTAAGAGAAGTTGTGGTGGAGAAACGAGGGGAAATCAGCTTGGCGGCAGTCCCAAGAGGCATCGAGAGGATCTCGATAGAGGAGTAGAAGGGCCCGTTATGCGCCTCCCTTTTCACGCTGAAATTGAGCAAAATGGCCAAGGCCCGGCCTCTCTTCGTTTCCAACGGGCTGGGAATGGATGGAGATCGATAGAAAGGACACACCCTCTCTCTTTCTCGCAAACACACACCACACATCGGGAAAGAGTGTCTGGTTTCCCTTCATTTCCGGGTCTTCGCCTCCCGCTCCGTTGCTTCTCCTCTTCCTATGGTGTGCCCTCCCGCGTTCCGGTACGGCACACTCGTCCTCCGTTCTCGTCTACCTAACGTCCGAGATCGTAGAGAGCATCTCGCGTTTCTCGTTCTACTGGCAAATCCGACGACTTGTCGCCTCTGCCTCTGGGTTTTAGATGTTCATTTTGGGGCCTCGTTTCCTATCGTTTCTCTGTCGGACGCCGAAGAGGTTTCATGTATTCGTCGTAGTAGATGACGGCAGCCGATTTAATCCGAACCGTGCCGAGAACGAAGCGACGACAAATATGTTTAGAGCGGATTCTCGATCGGTAAAAGTAAAACGTAAATCACGTGCAAACTTTCCCTCGAAAGACGACTCGATGGAAATGCCAAGAAGGGAAAGCACGATGGAGACGGTGACATGGATGCACACGGGAAGCGAGTAGATGACGGCTGCCCTTGAGCAGACCTGGATTCAAGCCAATGTAATCAAAATGTCCCTCCCTTCGTCGCCGAGGGAAAGGGCAGAGAGCGAAAGATCGATTCGTGCAGATGGAAGAAGATGATCGGGACGAATGCCACTTTTTTCTACCGCAGAAACGCTGAAGTTGCAGCGGAATCCAGAGAACTACGACCTTCTGCAGAGGGACAAGCATCATCACTTGGAATCCAGAGACGACAGAGAGGATTTTCATCACACGAAGGTGTGTTTCCTTTGCTGAGTCCATCGGGAAATCGTACGAAAGAGTACGTACCTCCGTGAGCCGTACCGTGCCGGAAGGTCACCATTTCCGCAGCGGATCGTTGCATGGAATTTACCGACGATTCGTACGAGCTGTGCGGAGCTTTCTGGCGAACGATGTTGGAGAAACTCGAACCGAGAAATAGGGGAGGACTGGAGGCCTAGGGGCCCCCCCTAGAACCAGGCCAATTTCATAAAAGCACCATAGTTATTAATCATTTTTATGGCTTTACACGATTTGGCAGTGCTCATGAATTGATATCAGTATATGGTCGTTACTTGCTGTTAATGTTCGCTATAATTTCACTTATAATTTATCATGTTTGGGGGCCCCACCTGGAAGTTTCCCGGTATGCCGGTGGGTCAGTCCGACCCTGCGAGAAACACGAAGGACTAGGACGAAACAGTACCCGTACGGGGTCGTTTTATATGCGAGAGGCGGCACCACTTTGCATCTAACTTCACTCCTGCATCGTCTGAGAACGATCTTTGTTATATTTTGGGAGAACGAACAATTTTTATGACGGCGTAGACGGGATTCTGTAAATTTCTCTCGAATAGACTCAAGATCGAAAGACGTTCTTCTTTTGTCGGTATTCCATTCGAGAAAAAACGGCGACGATGGAGTGATGCGCACGGAAACGCTCTAGATACGATTATCCTCATTTGAAATGCATTTCAGCGAGCCATGGAGACGCTGGGATTCAGTTCGAGCGAAATCTTGAACGTGTTTCGTTTGGTGTCGGTGGTGCTAAAACTCGGGAACATCTCTTTCGTACCCATCAATAACATCGACGGCACGGAGGGATCCGAAATATGCAGCGACTACGGTTTGTCCTTTCCACTGCTCTTAGACTCCAAGGAAGAAAAAAAATCCACGAAATAGGAACGTAATCCACGCATGCGTTTGCATTATTTTCAGTGTTTTCCAAATAATGTCATTCGAGGTCCTCGAAAAACGTTTTCTTTATCATCCGAATCACCTCAATTACTTAATTATTTAGGATGATCAACGAAAAAAAGAATTGCATCCTTCAAATAAGATTTCTTTACGACCAGCTGATCTACAAATGTAAAAAAAAAAAAAACTACCAGAGAAAACTGATAACCGTTTGTGTAATGACCTTCCTAAAAACTCAAGGATTGAGTAGAAAGTTGATCGATTCGAACAAACTGCCCTCGACGTCGTTATTCGAAGGAAGACCGCCGAGAATACGAAAGGCAACGCGACGCGCCCATATTTCTTCGAAACCGGCTGACTTGGCCGCCTGAAAAGTTATTGGGGGGTTTGACAACTCTGCCAGCATACGATATAATTTGTCTTTATAGTTTTTTTTCAGATGGATCGACTTTATCTAAAAACCGAGACGAGATTGCTGCAAAGCATAGGTGCGCAACCTTTTCCCCCTAGAGGGCCAAATTGAGATTTTGGCTTAAGTTCGAGAAGTTCGAAGAAGAGCACGAGCTGCATATAAATATGGATCTTTAGAGAACGGAGGCACCCAAAGGGGCCGCAAGAAAGGTCTCCGCGGGTTGTGCATCACTGCTGTAAAGTCTGTCCACGATCGGTAGTTCATTTCGTCGGTCGGCTGGCACCATGGCCCTCATCCGTGCGAAGGACTTTCATCTCATCCTTGTTTTATGCCGAGAAATGAGATACGTTTGCGAAGGATGATTCTTAAATACTCGGAAAAGAAAGTCTGCCATAAACGATACCCTTGTTTTTCTGCGGCGATAACAAGGAGCGAAACGACCCACTGGGGGAAGTGAATTGAAAGTAACTGCCGTTTTCATACCCTCGGATCGGGTCGGAACTGTTGGCCCGAATCAGCCGAGTCTGCTACTTTGAGTGTCGGGCGCGCCGAGCCGAACCTAACGGTCTCGGCCGTCTCCCCCCGATCGACGTCGCATCCTATTCACCGTTACCTCTAAATTTTGATGCAATCAATCGACCATTTTTACAAATGACGTGTCGATGTACAATGGATTTACCAGTTTCCTCGTAGACCTTTTACTCGTGTAAAGCTGGTGCTTCGGAGGGATTCCCTTTTGGAGTGATGTCGTGGCTTTTCTCGAGTTAAAGAATTGACGCAATGCAACGCAAATTAATTTTCAATGCTCAGCGGAAGGAAACTTACTGGTAGTCTTTAAAGTAATAACGAGCAATAGTGAACTGAATGAAGCACGGTTAAAGGAAGATTCCTACTCTTGATACGAATTCCCACTTTGGTTTACATCCATGTCGTTTCACTTTCAGAAGAGAAGGATCTTGAAGCATATCTGAAGGATAAATTAACTGCTTAAGTGTATTCTTTTGATTTCCTGACTCGTCCATGACCTGAAACGATAAGCAGCCGAAGTGCTTTTAGCTGTTACTTCCATGGAATGAAATTCACGTGCTGGAGATTTTAATGACCGATCCCATTTGGCCGGTCCCATACCTTCTTGTCGTCTGCGTCTAGAGGCTCCAGACGAGTGCGAATCGATTAGAGGTCTGTATTTGAATGCGGTGAGAGCATCCATTGAAGAGGGCACTTCGTTCATGCAGAGATGCACGACTTGTGCGAGTTGTTGGGAGGCGAGTACGTGGATATAGTGAGGGCATTAACTCAGAGGACACTTTGGAGCGGTGAAGTGCCTTCCTCAACTTGCCTTGCTTCTCCTGGGCACAAGAGATCCGGGGACTCGAAACAGTCATCGTTGAACCGATCTTCATCTCTCTCCAGACCCGGTATGTCTTTTCGACACGTTCTTGAGAAATCTTCAATTTTTCTCTGGAAATGGCCAAATTTTCCCTGCAGTGTACAAGCGAAAGCGGAAAGAATGGTTTTATCCTTGATTTTTGAACGGATGGAAGGATGCATGCATGTTCGAAAACATCTCGGAAACCATTAGGAGTTGATCGATGAAAGGATGGGTGTCAATATGCATAGTAATTTGGCCCATGGATCTACTGAAAAAATGAACCTGCCCTCTTGTAACCTACAATGTTCAGGAGGTATGAGACCCATCAGAAATTACAAGGAGTTTATTGTAAGTATTGTCAATAATGGTATTTCTCTGCAACCACACATCGTAGGTGGGAAATATTGCTTCATAATGCAGGTTCATGCTTTACTGATCGGTTGTTTCATTTTAGTTCACCATGTGGGATGTTATCGATTTAAGGTTTTGGACGCCTACTAAGATGTATTAAAAGAAATTACTTCGATTCTTGCTTGCAGAGGGCGCAATCTCCCTCTGCAAGCATTTACGCTTAGATAAAATATATGTTTAGGTTTCTGTGAACGATTTTAAAAATGTTTTTCTGCGGGTGATGTGCCATCAGGATTGTGAAATGTAGTTTAGCGATTAAACTCTTTCAGGACATGTTCCCATGCACACAATATTGAGATCGATCACAAAATGTAGAGAACCTGAACCAAAGACAGGAATGCAGTATATGAGCATAAGGAGTTAAAACCCATTGCTATTCAGGAGTTTGTCTACCATCACCGCTACTGCACGAAAATGCGTGCACTGTAGGTGTCCAGACATCTCAACAATCCAAGAGCTGGGTCTTGAATGGGATCCATCACTAAACTGCTCTTCACCGTCCTGGAAGCGTTTCTCAAGCAGCAGAACATTTTTTTTTCTCATTAAAGCACTGTTTTCTACACACACTTTCCATCAGTGTGTAATTGTTTCGGGGATTATGGCCCTTTGAAAGCAAAAAAATCCATCATAGATCTTTATTTGACCTCTTCAGGGATACTAGATACAGGGCAAAGAGCATAATCTTTGTCCATGGCAACGTCCAACCTCTCATCGCTCGTGCAACAGGGGCCACCATTTAAAGCCTAGGTCGGGAGATCCTCGACCATCCTCCATACAGTCCAGACGTCAACATGCGAATTTCACGTATACGACCTAAATAAGGGTGTCGAGGGACCGGTGATACCGTTCGGACGACGACGTGGTAGAGGCAGTGAGAACTTGGTCTCACCAGATGCGATGTCGTTTTACGGCAGTGCCATAAAAGACATGGTTAAGCGATGGGACTCGATAGCCGTGGAGGAAAATTTGAATAAATTAAATTATTTGGAATGAAAGAAAGGCTTTCATGGTCTGGTTTCTCAGGGTTTAAGGTGCAAGATAAAAAAAAACATGAAGTTGGCTGATATTTTTTATCGTGTTCTCAAGAACCCAGTGTTTACCCACTGACAAAGTTGTTAATCCATGCCCAGAAGAGAAACTGTACAAAAAAAATAAGAGCTATTTTCTAATCTCAGTTCAATTTAACTTAGTCAGATTCAACTAATCAGCGACTATCGATGGCTGCAGTTCGATGCCACGAAAAGTCGAGCAGAACGGGGATTTAGGAATGATGAATTAAGAACGACATGAACGACCATCAGCGACTGCATTGCCGCACTCCTCGAGCAAGTTGAAAGAAACGACGAAATTTTCTCTCAGCATGAAAAATTGAAATCTCCCATTACCTCAACTGGAGAATTCATGAATTTCTTGATCTCGGTCATGCTCCCGATTCTGTTCGACTAACGCAGAAGCAAATGAAGGTGGTGTCGTTGTAACTTGAGGAAGTCATCTGGCGACTGAATTAATTTTCTCTAATTCCCAGGGGAAATCTGCACTCACATGGTTACTTCGACTTTCCGAGTGTAGAAATTCTTTTGAAGTAACGAAATCACGATGGGAGAAGATGGCATCTCGATTCCGTTCTTAATTTTGATGGGTGTGAATTTTAAATCTTATGCGATCTCAATTGACACGAGGACTAGAAAATGGGAAGTGTTACGCTGAAGCCGGATGTGATGTTGTAGAGTTGGCGGAAGGGTGCGAGAGCTACAGGTCGGACTACGGGACGATGCCGAGCAGTTCGCCCCGCGATAACATCGTCGTTGCAGACCTCACGGCAGCGGATTCCATCAACGACAAAAATGCCCTTGCCAAGGCCATCTACAATCGCCTCTTCACCTGGCTCGTCTCCAGGATCAACGAACTCCTCAAGGTCTCTCTTCTTACTTCTCCGAGATTGCCGAAATCGAAGGCCATCTTAAATGGAATCGATGATAGCACCCGCGTGCTTCTTTTCCACGACGAGTCATCAAAACTCTACTCATTCGGTCACTCGAGACTTTCCCGCGTCCCTTGGAGGAAATTTCATGATTCAATGACTGTTATGGATAACATTTTTCAGATCGACGACAGATATTTGTAGATGTTGAAACTATAGAAGGAAACTCCTCTCGGTCTCGGATGATACGAAACGATTGCAGTTCTCGTCTTGCGTCCGCATATGTGACTTTTCTTCTCGAGCGACATCGACGAAGTAACTTTGCCGATGTCGAAAGAAGAAAGTCCTCGAAATTTCATGTACCATCGGAAACGAGGTTTAGAGAATGAAAGACGATTTGATTTCAGCCGAAAGGACACGGGAAAAGACGAGTACTCGGACTTCTGGACATCTACGGTTTCGAGGTCTTCACCGAGAACAGCTTCGAACAGCTCATCATCAACTTCTGCAACGAGAAGCTCCATCAGTTGTTCCTGGAGCTGGCATTCAAGGAAGAGCAGGAAGAATACATTCAAGAGGGCCTCGAATGGGAGCCCATCGAGTTCCGTTCCAATGCCTCTATCTGTGAACTCATCGAAAGGGTGAGTCTCGATCCCCGTGTGGAATGGTCGATCGGTTGAAAATTCAAATGACTTTCCATGGAAAACCTTGTCGGATGATCACCCCATTTGTACCCTCCAAGGTGGCCTTCGTGCACGCTTCTCTTGCAGAGTTTGTAAACACTCGTAAGGTAGATCACATCGAGGGTATATGAAGGATTGAGGGAATCCGATTCTTAACTGACGAGGATTTTTTTTATAGAGATAATCTAACTCAAATGGAATGTAAGCCTTAATGTGCGTCGTCTAAAAGAAGCGACGAACGAACGTGTTATTTTACATCGTCACCGTGTGAGTGTGTGCGTTTGTGGGGGGGGGGGGGCAATTTTTTAGACGAATGTGTGAAACAATATGTGAGATGAAGGCAATAGTTATGCATCTAGCTTTCTTCCCTTAAGGGAGGAAACACCTAAAGCTTTCTGTGTCTTGTGATGATATCACATGACTCGGTTTGGCACTCATAAGGAATGCGGAATGATGCAGCGCGGGAAAAGTTTGAGATTTCTCGTAAAATAGACCTTGCGCACTAGCAGACGGTGAAATGGCCGTCACTATCTTGGTCTATGTAGGAGTGGCTGCCCAGGGGGGGGGGGGGGAATATATACAGGGTGTTCGTGTTTAAACGTAACATTGGGAAGTTTATGTCGCCTGTTTGAGGAGTTCAGGACGTGCCTTATAGCTCACCGGGTTGCATATCTAATAAGATGAAACCTACCTCTAATGTGTTTACTTGTAGATATGCAACCCGGTGGGTCATATAGCGTTCGTCGAACTCCACCTACAGGCGGCAAAGTATTCCCATGTTGCGTTTAAATACCAGCACTCCGTATATACAGGATGAGTCAAATGTCACTGAACGACTTTGAACAGCTATAACTCGGCAAGGAAGGCATTAATTTGAACACGGTTCGTTGTATCGGAAAGGGCGTGCAATAATTAAGAATTATGCAATGTTGAAAATGTTGAAAAAAGAAAAATATTTATTTGGCGTAAAATGATTGTAATTACTGACTACCTTGCATGATATTGAGCACCATCATGCTTGATCAGCCGTCGCCGAAAGGCAACTCCATCGATCTTCTCAGTGATGCGTTGCTTTAGTTCAATGATCGTGAGCGAATTTCCGGGTTATACCTGGTCTTTAAATGAAACCACACAGTCAGAAGTCGAGTGGAGTCAGGTTAGGCGACCTGGGAGGGCACTCGATAGGCCCGACCCGGCCTATCCACCTGTTTTCAAACCAAAACGACGCTTCACTTTGGAAAGACTTCCTTCACGGATAAATAATAAATGAACGATGGCGACACGTTCCTCCAAAGAAAGTTCATCGGCATTATCAGAAAACGATTTTAAGCAGCAAAAATGAACAGGAAATGATCGCGAAAATGACGCCCTAAATATCACATTTATGCTGAAAAATGTTGTTTTTCGTTTTGTGCCGGTTAATCCCATTTCTTATTGATATTTCGTGCAAATTTCCATGTTGTTTCGTCAATTAAAGAACGCTCTTTCATGTGCAAAAAACTGTAAATTAATGCCTTCCTTGCTGAGTTATAGCTGTTCAAAGTCGTCCGGTGACTTTTGACTCATCCTGTATATATAATACCGAAATGAAATTCACATCTCCGAAAAGTGAGATTCAGTGATCTCCACAACCCCGGGGAACTTCAAATTTGCTGGAGCGATTCTGTGTTGAGAGAGGAAGAAATGTGGCAAATTCGTTCCTGTTGATGCTCTCAGAGAGGAATACAAGAAGGTTGAATTTTGTTGCTGGAAGGAGTTGAAGAAAGGTAATGGTCGCTACCGCGCCCATTGATAAAGGTAACCTTTTTTAAAATTTAGCTGTGCCGAATTCGATTCATTGAAGTATTTTTTTGTAATACTTGTGCACCCCCCTGAAGAAAGAATGCGTTTTGGTCATAACATGTCTGTAAAGGATGATTTATCATTTTTAAGCGGTATATGACCGCATTTTTTGGCAATGTAAGTAGTATTTGACATTCCATGGTCACATTCCACCTAACCTATCCAGACGGATGCAGGCTGAGTTAGGACAAGAACTGCTTCTCCGATTCCGGCTGGTGAGGAACAGCTGCACTCCTCTTGTGCTGGCGCCATATTTCGGGATCTCGAGTCCTGATATGGGACCGAAATTATCGATAAATCCTTGGTATCTAAAATCCACGGACCTAAACTAGAGCAGAAGTTGCTGGACCGGTTTTAGCCTCTTTGATTAGTTAGATTCGTCTTGCCCTGTTGATGTGTCTTTCTAGGATCGCAAATAGCTATACCAGCCTTGAAAGTATTATGGTAGCAGACCTACTTTAAGGCAACTTTTTCCATCTCTATTCCCCCCAGGAACCAAATTGACTATATGAAAGTTGATTGGACAAATACTGCGTTCATTGAGATAATTTACATAGTTTATGCTAATGAGGTGCAATATGGCCGCCAGAGCGCAAAAATATGAACTTTTCTTCAAACAGTATTTCTGTTTGTATGGTTCACATATATTTAATGGAATTGACAAGTGTTGTAGTTCGAATCCTTACAAATGTCCTGAGGGAAACAGTTTTTCAAGAAATAGGTGGCTTTTTTCAAAAATGAAAATTTTTCTATTTTTAGCGTTTTTTGTGACCTAATTACATATTCAATGGTACTAAAAAGTGTTAAAGGATTGGGTAAACGAAAAAAGCTACCATCATTCCTTGGAGGAACATTCAAGTTAGCTCTCAGCCAAAAATGAATGATGTCGGTATATTACACGAAAAGTTATGCTGTTCAGAGCAGCATGTCTGCTGAAAAATGCTGTAACGAGAAAATCGCGATCCACGCGGTTGCCAGAGACAACAGGTTAGGGACATTAATTACAAATTAGGTTAATTAACCATTATTTTAATATTTTCAGGTTTTCATGGCGATATTATGAATCTGCACAAGTTGAAGTATGATTATATTCAATTTTTGTGGAAACATTTTTTTCTTCAAAACTGACGATTCTAAAGTAGGTCTGCTACCTAAAGGATTGATCATTGCCCAATCACACAAATCGATGTAATGCAAAAATCACTGGATCAATTTATATGAGTAGAGCACCGATGGACTCGAATGGCTCTGGGGTTATGGCTTTAGGGAATCTCTAATCACGGCCGCCCAGAGGTTTCCAGGGGCCCGGAGCAAAGCTAAACCGGAGACCTCTTGGGGGCCCCCTTGAGGCCCTTTGGAGGCCCCCTTGGGACCCCTTGATACGCGGGACCCGGGGCAGATTGCCCCCTTTGCCCCCCCCCTCTGGGCGGCCCTGTCTCAAACGGTGATGTACGTAGTATGGAAAGACAAAAAAAGGCACCCGTTATCTAGAACGGGCATTTGCTATCACGCATTAGTGGACACATTACATTTTGGTCGTTGAGTGATACGATCTCGAAGTTGAAACGCCTCATGAAACACACTATCTCCTGAGGCAAGTTCATCGTTACCGAATTCGTTGGAATTCAACTGTGGTAATTCCTTTCTTGTGTGCCATGCGTTCCAGATGATGAGTACTGTTAGGTGTTTCCATCACCTCATGAGCACTACTGACATGAAGGGCACACTCCCAGAGCGTGATGAGTCCAATGGTACCTCAAGAGTTGGAATCGGCTAAGTCTACAGGGCATACCTACACTGTAAAAAATTTTCCGATTCGGAACACCTGAAAAAACACCATCCAGAACACGTTTAACGCAACACTTTTGGAACACGTCAGGTGTTCCAGGTGATGATCTCTGAGGTGTTCTGTAATACGTTTCCTAATGTTCCCATGGCCGAATTCAATTGAAGTGTTCCATCTAACAAGGCGTTCCTGGAGGCGTTCCCAGCGCAACACTTTTGGAACACCTCAGGTGCTCCTTTGATGTGTTCTTCCCAGCAAAGACGGAGCAGATACAGAAATAAATACGCGAAAATTGAAGGAAGATAATGCTTCATTTAGTGAAATAAATAGCTACGAAAAAGGAAACTATGCAGAGAATAAATTAGCCACTTGGAACTGCTGTCCACTGGGTGCAGGTGAGTAACCCCCAAATGTTTCTTTCCAGTCATTCTTGTGTAACAATAACACCAAGCCATTTATGATCATGTGCAGTCCAAACATCAGACATCCAGTGAAACAATAGGGAACCACTTTTGTTGATCACCGATGAAAATTGTCGCAGGTTTTCTTTTCACTCTGCAAATTCAAGTACCTACTTCTGATATACGAGGTCTGGCAATAAAATTCCAGGACTGATTTTTTTGTGAGTTTTAACAAGTGTCTTAACAAGTTGTCTCGTCATACCTCCAAGAATCTTGAATAGTTTTCAAGGCTTCAGCCAGTAGAAATGACATTGAAAATAATGACTGATTCAGCCATTCCTAGGGTGAATGGTTGGTGATGGTTGGGGTTGAGGGGGTCTGAGTGTCTTCACTACTTGCTAAAGGCCTTGAAGATCATTCAAAATTATTGGAGCATAACAAGGAACTTTTCAAGACACTTCAGCAATGTTTCATGGATTACTGCAGCTGTATTGATCGGTTTCAGACAAAATGTGATGAAACATTGCTTTACTCTGGGAATATGACAGACGCCTTACACACTGAGCTGCTACATTGCCAGCCAAACATTCAGGATGCAAAATAGCATTCAAGATGCTAGTCAGATGAGGGCTGACACAACACTGCCCAACAGTCTAATCTATCAGTCCATGGAATGAAAATAATTTTTGTGATATAGACAGACTCACAAAAAAATCAGTCATGGAACATTATTGCCAGATCTCCTATATACCTGAGGAAGGAAAATCTCATGAATGTCACAAATAACACCAGAAAGAAAATTACATAATGGCTAAACATGGGCTATGGTGGCAGTAACTTATTCCTAGTGCCCACCTGCTAAAACTAATTTTCTGCGATGTAAAGACCATTTTTCATGCTGAACTCTTGATTGGCAAAATTATAATAGCCACACCCTGTTACAACTTCCACCCAGATTGACATGCTAAAGCTGTTCCTTTTTGTACAGTCATGAAACCTAGTTATTCTATTTGAAGTTCATCAAAACCAGGATATTTTTATGAGTTCACTAGTGTTTTATAATATTTTGATGTCAGCAGCTGGATGAATCCCTCACATGCTTGCTGTGGCTTGAGTATTCCTGCATTTCATAATGAAATTATATGCCAACTTGTACTTCTTGAACTATGAAAAAACTGATGTCATCTCAAAAAGTTTGTAGAATTTGCTAAAAACAAGGCTTCCACTCCAAGGTGACATGGTTCACATAAACATTACTCCCCTGTGAGTCTATGCACTCATTTCAATGGGTGCGAGGTTGTTGTTATGTAAATCTACAGGCTATCCTAGGAAGAGCATCCAGCTAACAACTTTTCATGAGACTCATGGTTCCATCTTTATTGGAGAACTAAACACTTTGATAAGAAATTGGACAGCGATAAGAAAACAGCCACAGGGTGACAAGTGTAGTAAATACAGTGGATGGCTAATAGTGATAAGGAAAAAGCATGCATATGTTACTATTGGATACATGAATGACAAAAGCTCAATTTTCTGCTGAATATTTGCAGCAACCTTTTTTTGACAACTCACTAGGGTGTTGCTTTGTCATTTTTATCAGCCATCCCCTCTCATCACTGAAATAGGCCTCCTGTGACTGTTTTTCACTACTCAGTCAATTCCATGACAAAGGGAAGGAGATCTGGTGATTGGAATGCAATCCCAAGTTCAAAGTCTCATGAAAAGAAAAGACAATTTCAAAAGACATACTAGCAGAGATGCATTAACTCAAATGAGGACAATGTTCAAGGGGATCATGTGACCTTCAAGTAAACTGGGAGTACAATTTCAAAAGACATACTAGCACAGATGCATGAACTCAAATGAGGACAATGTTCCAGGGGATCATGTGACCTTCAAGTAAACTGGGAGGTTATCCTGGCAGGAAAAGACTGCTAGGTAGGTCCTGATACATCAGGGAAGTAATGTTGCACAGAAAAGTCTGGCATGCAACATGCCATACTCAAAACTAAAATGTCAAGGCACTATGAACTCATATCCTCTCCATTTAAACCTTGTTTATGCTTTTAAATGGCACATTGGGACTCAGATGAGGTTAGGAACTTGCTTAAAATCTTTCTCCATAGAAATACATGACAAAAGCCTGCAGTATGAATAACAACAGTACCTCTAATCTGATCAAGCAGGGATCTAACATTTAGGCACATTCATCAATTGCATTCCTTCAGAAATAAACTTTATGAACTAGTTAATGTAATGCTTACAATCAAGGCCTATAATACCTACCTTCCATGCCTTACTCTGTGTAAGGCCAGCATGAGCCACCTCTATCTGCTACATTAAATTTTTCTCCTTTCCTTGATGACTTTGATGGTTAACTAAGATCTGCTTTATAAAAATAACATGCTGCAATATTAATTTCATAAGTGATGACAACGATATGCAGTTCTATTTTTCATTAGGTTAAGATTTACTCTCAACTTCAAATCACACCCAACAACTTGACAATCTCATCACACAGGATAAGGATTTTCATGAATCCCAAAACTATGAAAACATTGGAATGTCTTTAGCACTTCTAACCTGAGCTGTCACATTACAGACCCTATCCTAATCATGCTGAGGACAAGAATACAAAATTTTACCAATTAAGGGATCTGCCAAGGAAAAAGTACTTATTTTCCTTCCTTTTCATGTGGGCATTCTTAAAGAACTACTTGGTACTTTGACAATCTCATCACACAGGATTAGGATTTTCATGAA